TGACAGTGAGGGTGACAGAGCCCTGGAACAGGCTGCCCAGAGAGGTTGTGGAGTCTCCTTCTTTGGAGATCTTTAAAACCCGCTTGGATGCTGCCCTGTGCCCCGTGCTCTGGGTGACCCTGTGTGAGCAGGGCGGGTTGGACTGGATGACCTCTGAGGTCCCTTCCAATCTTAACCATTCAGTGATTCTAGTTCAAGGTGGAAAACGTTGCTCTGAACTTGTCTGAGTTGGGGAAAAAATATCTTTGTATACATATCTGCACTCACACACACACACACACACACACACACACATAATGTATGTATTTTATGTATAAAATATGTTTGTCTTTCAGCTCACACATGCTCTCTAGCCGCTGAGCGTGTGCGTAGAGGGAGCGGTGGCGGCCGGCTCGGTGCGTTTGTGTTTGTACAGGGGCCTTGGGCTGCCCAGACCCAGCGCTYCTGCCTCCTGCTGAGGTGCTCCCAGCACGGGGGCGTTGAGAAGGTTTAGATAAAATGTGAGTCAACTGGGACCCCGGGCAAGAGGTTTGGTGGTTGCTGTTCTTAGGTGACATTTAAGCACTTATCCCTAAGGCCTAATTTAGGCTCTRAAGCCCCAGGGAGCTGAAATATGCGGGAGCGACTTCCCTTACTCAACCAATTTCTGATTACCGCTTGCCTACTAGGGATATTTACTTTGCGAGGGGGGAAAATATAATCCAGACTAAAAATGCTTCTAAAGAAACTCTGAGGACGTGTTATTCCACTTTTGTAATGGCTTTCAAAATGTGACTGTTGCGCTAGGAGCAGTTGTTTCTGTGTGTGATGTAAGTTTTAGAGCTTAGATTTTCAAGAGTGTGCATCCAGCACTTCTGACAGTGCTTTCCAAAGCAGCCAGAAGTACAAGTGGGAATACGACTCTCTCAAAAGACACTTTGGCACAGTGTTTCTGTGCTTTGTAAGCAATCTAAGCCAAGAGTATGCTTGCCCAAGCTCTGTACTTTTGTTCTCTCTTTTAAGAAATAGTCTGTTTTTTTGCCTGGGTTTTGGCATTAGAGCCCAAGAGCAGCTTGGCGTGAGACAGCGGAGTTGGAGACTCTGCTGCCGCATACTTTTCCAAAGGAAAATGGCTGGCAAAGAAAGGATGCCCCTCCAGAAGCAGAATATCCTTCGCTCCTGCAGCAGCGTTAGCAGGAGCTGCAGCAGGGAAGCAGGCGGAGCGCAGTGTGGACGCCGCTGCAGCCGCTGCCTGCTGGGGCAGCAGTTGTTCCTCCACAGTGGGGAATGCAGCTGCCTTTGGGAATTTGGCGCGTGCCGGATGCGCAGCGGGCCCCACAACACGGGCATCTGCCCCAAGACCCACGAGGCAGGTGATGCTTTTTCCTTGTGCTTGATGAGCTTTTCCCCTCCTCAGTAAGGAATCAGCGGGATACTTGGGATCTGTATCACAAGGTAAAACAGCAGCATACGGAAGGTGGAGCAGTTGCCAYTTATTGCTGTTTTGGGCATCTCAGGAGCAAAACATCCTGCAGTTTGAGACTGYCTGACAGTTCAGTGATGGGGTGACTGGTAGTAGGCTTAGAAGCCAATGCCACGTGCTGCTCTCTTAGCACTGCTCACCCTGGYGTAGCCACCACTATCCTGCACCTTATTGGGGCCACACTTCCCAAGCAGGCTCCTTTCTTTTTCTTAATTCCTTAAAATTTTCAA